TGCAGATGGACTCCCGACGACACTCGACACCCACCCACCCGAAAACCGGGGTCGACCCCCCCCTCCAAGACCGCATACGGACGTACGAAAGTCCGTACGGGCCCCCGGGTCCCCGTACGTACGACCCATATACGTACGGGCGTATACACAGATGCCTGGAGCCTGGGTACCGCGCTCGCGACGGTTGAGCTGCGTTTGAGGTATGGAATAAAAGTCTACCGAAAGTATCAGCGGAGGGACCACATTGAGGAAGGTCGGTGAGGAGATGACCGGTCTGTGTATGAGATTGCTTGAACTTCTTTTTTTTGTATTCCCCCTCTGTAAAGATTGGCTGAGGTCTGAGCTGTTGGACGGGGCAATGATTCTAGTCTATTCCCACCTCCCTGCCTAAGTCTACATGAGTGAGAGATGATTGAAAGGAAGGAGGATCGAGGTCAGTTGGAATGAAACCAAAAAAAGGAATGTAGGATATGATGATCGACCGGAGGTGCTTTGGGAAGGTGGCACTTAGGAATGGGGAGGTAGAGTAGGAAGACCTGGATGAGGGGTCTGAAATAATTCTCATCTAGGAAGTAGGTTGACCTGACCGGAGGGTTCATTCGGTGCTCTCTTATGGAAACAGGAATCGGGTGCTGGGAAAACAAGATGGTGCGGTGACTGTCGTCTCCAATCTATTCCAACGACCCGCAAATGACGGTAGATGTAAAGGATGGGGTATCGGTCGTCCTCCCGGAAGAAGGAACATGGACAGACCTAGAGCCAACCTACCAAACTGTAATGGTGGACAAGGAGGACACGTTCCTCTTGATAGAGACGATATGGACTAAGGTCAGTCTGACAAGATTATCGCCAAGCTTGATGGATTTGGAATTCCGATGGACAGTGCAAGCCCGAGAGTGGGTCTAATTGTCGCAGGATGGGAAAAATGCTATGGTCGTGGACTTGGTACTAGGGACCGCGCCGGACAAATTGTTTAGGAAGGCAGAAAGGGAGATTGTATGGGTCGCCTATCAGCGGGCTGAGATGGAAATGGAAAGGGTAGATGTGTGAGTAGAACTCGGGGATAGGGGGAATGTGAGACGACCTGTTAGAACAATGAGATGTGTGCTACCTCGTTTTCTGGTGGACACGATCTTTGGAACTCGGAGTATGTTGGTATAGATATGCCAGTCCATGACAAACCTCGGGTTGTACCAATGCGCCAGGCAGGACTTCTTCCGGCTGTCGGTGGAAATGAGGCCTTTTGAAGGAAATTGGGAGAGGGAACTAGCAGAGATGTTGAATTGCCTCAGCATAGACAATGTCTATGTCCCTAGCCCGGTACATTGGGGGATAGTTTACAGGAATGTGGCCGTAGGGGAGACCTTCCTAGAAGGGGTGAGAGAATTGTTCTACGACGAAGAAGATGACCTCGGTGATGATGGTGAGGGGGATGAGATACAAGACTGAGAATTCTGAGGAGTAAAACTTATCTAGGGGAAGTAAGTGGTCGACGCTGTGTTGGAAAGAAATGATGGCTAGAGAGCTTTTGCTGATGGAATGCACTTTCAAAGGATGGGAGCCACGGCGACTCAGAGGGGGGTTAAAACTGCCTATACCAACGAAAAACGAATGGAGACGAACCACGTGCGGCTGGGTTGGATTTGAAGTTGCCCCAGAACTATCGTACGTCTGGATAGAACAGATCTGGAACCCAATAAGGGAAGGGGAAGGATGGGACGAGATAGTGGAAGGCAGAGTGGAATCGGTTGGAATGATCGTTCTTTCCGATAAGGGGTGGCATTTATTTTGCAGTACGTTAGCGGCGGGACATGATCCGATGTGGCTTATGGAAAATGCAGAGGCAAGGACAAGAAAGGAAGGCGAGAGGTTCACTAACGAAGGGTGGGATGAAGTCAGTAAAAAGGGTCGTGATGGGAGGATGGAAGGAACTCAAGCCTCCCAGCTTGCGAACAACCGCTTGGGTGCCAGAGTTTATGGCCGATTGGTTTGGGGGTTTTGACCACATTTTAAACGTGGTCGATTCCATGGAATGGACACATATAGAGTGTGCCTGGTTGACTGAAGAATTTTATAGGACCTCGTTGAAGTACAGACCCTTCTACGACAATAGAGCCTGGGAGGTTCTCATCATCTTGAGAATAGGTAAGTATGATCGCCTAGAGGTAGACGCGGAGACCTGGGACGTCATAATTAGCCGGGAGGCGGCGATCGCTCCGTCCTGTGTGGATGATGTTTTTAAACTATTTGAACTAATATGGTTCGACTAAAAGACCGGAAGGTCGGAAGCCATGAGGAAATCAAAGGGTGGGGGATGCATGTAAACTAGGGGGTAACATAGGGTAGGGAGCATGTACATTAGTTTAGCAGGGCGTGCAAAGAGATTAAAACGGGGAGAGGCATCCGACTACCGTGGGCACAGTTGTTGATCGCAGGTAAGGAAGCAAGACAAGAAGGGCAGTACGAATGGCCCGAAGGAGGACGTTCCTTGAAGACCGGCCACTCGGGATCGAGCCGCTGAGAGAACGGGACGGCAGCATAGGAATCAGCATGCCCACCCGAAACGAAGTCTGGAATCCTATAGTGGACTGGGTCAGAATCGAACTTTCGAAAAATATGGTGTACCAGGTAACCGAAGTAGAATGGCATGCGGAAGGAGAGCAGGGCGATTGGAATCCTGATCCGCGAGGGCACGTACGCACGAGGGGGCGGCTGTACCTATCAAAGGACGGGTGGTGCACCTTCGGGGTCAGGTTAGCATCAAGGGAAGACCCGCTGAGCATGTTCGGGGACGCATGGCAGCTGGTATGGCGGACAGGGTTGGAGTTCGCCGACCCTCAGCATGACGAAGGAACGACGGATCTAAGAGTGGCCATGGTGGAGACCTTTACTCTACCTAGTGTAAACGTACGAACGAGGCCGCCGCCCTTTATACTGCAAAGGATGGATGACGAGGCGCACGTCAGACAGGCAGTAGCGACCCTTGCCGAACTAACTTTCGAAGAAGCAATGACTTACAGGGAATATTACCGAATCTTTTTAGAAATGGGGCCGTTCGACAACAGGGAGAGGTATGAAGTACTACACATACTACACGCAGCTTTGACGACAAAGCCAAGGGTCCCACTAATCAACGACCATGTCCTGTGGGGCGTCATCCGGCGGGAAGTAGGTCGGGGCCCGACTTACCTAGACGATCTGTACCGACTGTACGAGCAGCCAGAGGAAGATGTTGTCCCCTGAAAGATGAACTAAGAATGGAAGAGTAGTAGGGGCTCGAGAATTAGAATGGGGGCATAAAAGGGAAAGGAGGCAGTAGTTGGACAGTTGTTGAAGAGGGACTGTAATCCTCTTTGTTTGGGCTATGCAGGAGATCATCAATCGACGATGGCCGTAAGATGCGTTCGGACAGCACGCCAGCCCCGGTACCCTGGCCCGCCCTGGAATAACGGTAGGGGGTGGGAAGTGTCCCTTCCGTCAAGTTTCGAAGTCCGGGGAATCGACGTAGAATGGCGGGCCGTGACCTTGGGGAGAGACAACGCCTTCGTAATGGTGGAATGTTTGTGGA